AAAACGCCATCATTGGAAACTAATGAAGTATGTTGAATGTGAGCAATCTTCATTTCGGCGAATATATCAAGGAACAAAAATTGTTTTTGCGGAGAATATCTCCGACATCTTGCTTCAGTAATACCGGAAAAAGTCAAAGAGGGCCTTAATTAAGAGTTCCATGAATATGTTCAGTGATGCGCATAACACATTCCGTTTGGGCTTTCCAAGGAGTCGTAAGTCTCCCCTTGCGTGTAAAGAGTTTCTTCCATGATGGCTCTGAAGATTTTGAAATAAGGGAACAAACTATCTGAATGCAGCTGGAAGAAATAAGTGCCTTCCATTCCAGTTGAAGAAAATTGAAACCGGGGTACATTATGTAAGTTAGCAAGTCTGACCTTAACATCTCATAATGTAGGAACTGTACGGATTTGAAGTTGGCAGCAGCGGTTCCCTAAGACGATCAATCACCACATTTCCAGCGGGAAACAAGAGCTCATTACTTCTTTCCCAAGATTGAGGGCAACGCTCCGAAATATAACACTGTTTGCCGGCAAGTCGACGACACAGATCCTAGTCTGGTACCAATTAACCGACTGGGGAGATGGAAGGTTTGGTTTGCCTAAAGCGCTATCATTCCAGGGTTCAAACCGACCTGCTTGTGTGATGGTGCGCCACTTGCCACTACACCACTTCGCTCCAGTCAGCTCATAGCACCCACTTCATTCGGAGCCTCGTTCCCCAATACTTAATATCACAGTTTCACTCAAAATTGCTTGGAGGTATCTATATGAGATTAAAAAAGGATGGTCATCATTCACTGGTGCATCAGTTTTGTTTTTGCGACAACAAAGTGGTGAATGAAGCACGATCAAATCACCACTACCTTTCATTTTTGCCGAGCTTTCTCCTCTAGCCCTTATCACCGCAGAATTGCCAAGGGCTGTGATGTTTTCAAAAATATACACTATCAATGTTTTTAATCTATTTGAGCACCAAAACTCACAGTCCAAACAAGTGCCAAGTGCGCAGTAAGCATCTTGTCATGCGTCGCATAGCCGCTAAGTACACAAAGGGTGTGAGCCGGGAATATATGTCGTAAACGAGTCGAATTCTATGGCCTTAAGAATACCATTGTTGTAAAAAAAAGTATTTATGAGCTATGATTCACTACACATTACTTGCAAATGTGAAACCCTTGAAGTATCAAAACAGTCACGGATCCATGGGCGGCATTGCTCGAGGCTTGGGCTGTTTAAGTTTGCCCACTCATCATAGTGCTGCTATTATGGTGTAGTAGTCTACCAGTTCCGTTCATGATCATATCGAATCAGCGACTACTTTCAGACGAAGCCGCGAAGATACTGGAAGCTGTTTCTGACAGCAACGTAACGGTGAGTCCAATTTCCCCCTTTCCAAACGGTGGTTGACTAAATTGCTATTTTCAGAGTGGTTTTTGAAAAAAAAAACAGCTTCGCGATCGATTTTTGTGTGGGGTAGTAGAGATTCAGAATACCTAATTGTAAAATTGCGTCATGATAAGAGTTCATAGGCTAGAGAAACCGCTGGAAATGTTCATCGAATGAACGACAAACGAGGTTAGGGTGGCATCAGTTTCTCTACGGACGTCGAGGCACTAATATAAGAGAGTCAAACCATACGAGTATCTATTAACTCTTTTTCCCTTACATAGACAGTAAACAGACCGAAGAGAGGAGTGGTGCGTTAGGAACGAAATGGTCGCGTCGCGGCGAGAGGGGCATCGCGCGCGAAAGACTGTAGCAGGATGCAGCAGTAGATAAGAAATGCAAGAACAAAAGTACTAATAGTAGATTTATGCATAAAATAATGATCGCATATCGTTTGAGCTGTAAGGAGAACGCTAGAGTTGTAATAACGGCGAATGAGTGGTCCGCGACAGCCGCGTGCGGCAAATCGATTACCCATAATCGTTCCTAACGCCCGTCTCCCGCCAGGAACAGCTAACAATAAGATCGCTGCGCTGTTCCTCAATCCATGCCTACTGCATTGTTTTAGCTATTAATTCTTAACACTGCCGCCACCCGAAATTCCCATGTGCGACCCTCGAGAGGTCAATCTTTCCATATCATTTCTTTTCAGCACACCGGGTTTGATATGATCTAAGAAAGGATTATTTCATTTTATGAAAAATCGTCAAAATCCGATTTCAGGTTGTCAGCAACTCCACCAACTCTACTATAACCGGTAAAAGTGCAGCCAGCAGCTCGTATTTCGCTTGTGTCTGCGCTATGCTTCTTGCAGTTGCCTTCCTTTTAGAGACAAGAGCCTGAAAAAATACCTATGTGAACTATGTTATATTGATGTATACTCTCTTCTTTCTTTATTACTGGCTCATGGAATAGCTCCTCAGTTTGAACAATGAATTGGTTGCCTTGTTGAACAAAAAGAGCTTGGCATGAACTTTCTTATGATACAGTGACATCAACAACTCAAGTAATTTTACGACATTCGAGTATTGTAAAGATATTTATGCATTTATTTTATGTGCAGGGTTTTTAGGAACAATATAGTCATCGCCAATCGACTTCATCTATTAATTCTTTGCTAATTAACTTTTGAAGAACACAAACACAAACAGTTTCTGAAAGACGGACGTTCACTCTGTTCAGTTGTTATTTTGGAAGTGCCGTTTTTAAAGGTTCATAGAAACTATTGGAAACGTCGACAGCAGATCAATCAAAACTGTCTTGGCTGAGAGCTCCACATCACTCACCACGGAATTGTCGAGGGTTGTTCGAGAACCTCCAACTTCAGTAAGCCTTACAAGTCTTAGCAGTTTGGAAAACTTAAAGCGACCAACAGATTCACTTTGAACAAGGACTGCTATTGAGCACACTTTGCTGCAGTCTTCCCCAAAACCAATAATCGAATTCCATTGAAAATCTCCATTTG